TATATATATATATGTAACCATGATATTTTCTTGAACTAAACTTCCAGTTTAAAAAGCTGCTTTTACTGACAGAACCAAGAAGAGCCATTCCAACAAGTCAGCAGTCAGATTTTACAATCAGAAACATTAGTCCTTTTCTTTTTCCATTATATGGGAAATACACGACTTTGAAATGTAATTTGTCAGTAAGAGAAGATTCCATGGAACCCTCACACATCATGTCCCTTACCTGCCAAGGCGTATTCTCTTGCGTGCAATAGCTCCCCGATAGCGTCTAAAATCATCCTTTAATTAACAATAACAAAAAAGATAGTAAAATCAATTTCTAATATTTTACTGCTACAATCTTCAAATATCTTTCTCCTACGTCCATTGGAATGGCAAAGTAGGAGGCAGCGTCTCTGTGACCTACCCTCACAGATCCTAACATCTGTGTTGAATCCACAGAGGGCAGTGGCACCCCTACAAGGTCAACTTCTACAGTTATTTGCATTCTTTTTTAAAAGTGGAGATTATTTTGATTTCTGTTACCAGAATTATACATAAATCTCACTATATGGTTTTTAGGAAAGGCAAGTGTTGGTAATAAGGCAGTTCCTGGGTGAGGAGCAAACACACTTCCTGTGGAGGTGACCCAGCCCTGAGGACTGGATTGTCGCAACACACGACTAAACCAGTCAGGGTCACTCCAGGTGAACTGGGCTGGCACGAAATAATCACACAGAGATAGAGAAATGCCTTTTTCTTTGGGTTCTGGGACTGCTCCTCTGACCCAGCTCCCACAATGGGGGCAAGGTAGGCAAGAAAGAGTGAGGAGCACTTGCTGCACCATTTTATCAGGGAGAAGCCATTCAAATGAGGCAAGGGGTGGGATTACAAAGGAACATGTGAGTGTAACTCAACCCCCATGGGTGACGCCTACACCTGGAGCCACACTTAGCTATCTAAGTAACTCCCAAGTTACTATGAGACTGGCACTATGTGCCAGACAGAAGGCAATAATTGGTCAGTGCCCCTGGGCATCAGGACTTGAAGGTCTGCATCCAGGGCAGCTCCCGACACTGGATGGAAGAAGTAAGAGCAGATTCAGAAGAGGGAGGTGCAGAAGGTCAAGTACTACTCCAGCATGCACCTGAGTACAGGCTCTAGCACCTCCGTCATTTCAACAAATCAGCAGTGATTTGGGGTGGGGACAAAAAAAGCCCATTTTACTTTGTTAAGAATAGAAGAAGGAAAACCAAAGGGGAAAAAAAAAATCCAAGCCATCAAGGTTGCTGCTGGTGGGAGGAAATTCTGAGTAGGACTCTGGACCCACAGTTCTGATTGTCAAAGCTCACGTGGTAATAACTGACCTTTGAAATGGGTTCAATTCTGGGGAAGACGATGAGTTCTTCCTTATCATCAACAGCATTATAAATGAGAAAGGCACTGTTGATGTGGCGGCCTCGGCCTTCGGACCATTCCTGACAGTTGAAGGCCTCCACGCGTACTCCAACCTCCACACTGCAATGGCGAGGCAGGGGATGGGCAAGACAACCAGGGCTCAGCAGCCTTCACTGCCCACCACCACCTCCTCCTCCCAGCAACAGGAGACAAGGCCCTAGTTATGTTTGTTGTCAGCAAATCTGTACAACTATTAAAACCCAGTTTTAGTTCATTGGACTGGTTTGCAGAAGCCCCTGAGAGCATTTCCACTTTCCCACTTTCAAGAGGGAGAAAGGCCACTCTGGGTTTTACATGTAAATACACTTTATGAACACAGTTCATAATGGGGTGGGGGGAGGTTAAAGCTATAAAGAGTATTTAATGTCAGAAATATTTAATTTCTGAAATATTCTTTTTTACATTTAAAAAGATAAAAATACTAAATAAAATGTTTGCATTATGTATCAAGAATAACAAAAATAACTGGGAAGTAGTTTGGATTCATGGTGGTAAATAGGTTCATTATGAGCTATTTGCCCATAAGGTCACTAAGGCACTTACATGGCTGAAAGGAAGAATTAATAATTTTTCCAGGATAACTGGCACAAACCAGAGCCATCCTGGGCCATCTGCCACATGTGCCCACCCTTATGAGACAAAACATCCAATCCACCACAGTTTACTGTGTAAGAAGGGCCCAAGCAGAACACAGGCTTAAAATGTGCATCCATGAATTTTGAAGATCGAAATTTTAAAAAATCAGAAGGAATTTGGTTAAAGTAGTCCCTCCATTCACCTCCAGATTGAAATAAAAACAATTATATATGTGCAAATTTGAGCCTCAGAGCACTCTTTACCAGGTCTGAAATGTATTGTTGACAATGGAGTTGAAGACAAGACGGTCTCCGACTGTAGATGGTCCCCGGAACTTAAACATGTCCACAGACTTCAGAAAGGGATGCCCCTTACACAGGCGGCTGAGGAAACAAAGGGAAGGAGAGAGAAGACAACAATTACTGTCCAAAATATTTTCGTGAACTGTTGATTCACTGAATGGATGCAATAGACAAATACCCAGCCTGTTTTCTAAACAAAGAACTCTTAACTGGATGTGTGCATTTCGAGTGGTTTTGTACATGGCCAAAAATATTTGGTAAACTCCAACTTCAACATGTCCCCAAGTAGTGGGGGCTTTACCAAGATGTTGGTGATTTACTCCTATCTTGCTCTCTCTGGAAGTACCACTGAAAAACAAACTGATGCCTTTTGTCCTAATTTGAGGGTTATATTGATCCTGATAGCGGTGACTACAGACCCAGGAAGGTGTGACTGTCAAGTTGGAGACAAGAGAAGACAGCTGCCTGCTAGTGCCATTCCTTAGCTTGGCCTAACTGAAATCATCTATAGACCAAAAGGCAAACTTATTTTCCTTACAAATTACCTGGATGGTTGCACAAAGCCTGAAAGGCTAAAAGGTACACATTTTACAATGTTTGTGTGCATGGAATTTAGAGATAGCTATAAAGTATTTAATTTCAGAAGTTACCTGAATAATTTTCTACATTTTCTATTCCTACTGTACTCATTCAGTTACTCCAAAGAATTATGCTAACACTAAGTGAATAGCTTCTGCCATTGTTAATTATACGGTAAGTTTTTTACAGTAGAACCTGTTCAAGTTCACATCCTTTTTGTCTTTAAGAATTACAATCTCATTTCAAAAACAAGCTGTCTTATTTTGTGCATAATTTGTAGAAAGGATAACTATAGGCTTCTAATTTTAGTCATAACTATAGACAGGTTAATAATAAAATTCTTTTAATTTGGAGGAAATAAAACCTTAATTTTCAGTAATTACAAAAATTGTCAGAAGGGCATATCCTGTTCATAGGCATTTCCAGAGTATAGAGTGTTCCTTAAACTGCTCAATAACCTACATGGTTCCAGTAAGAATAAAATAACCTTTTCAGAAATTGAGGAAAGTTTAATAGTATTCTTCCAAGGACTCCCCTCTTTCTCTTCTTATTCTTTCAGTTAATTCTTTGGCCATAATGATTTTAACCAACACTTTTAAAGGTCAGACTTAATTGTAAATTGCCTTTAAAAAGTTTGTTACTCGACTCATTTTAAACTTATCACAGTAAGTTGCATTGTCACCCAATCAACGTTTAAAATTCAGAATAAAGTATTCAAACTATGAATTCAGTTTTACATTTGAGCCAAGAATTTAAAAATGTTCACATTCACATGAAAGGATGGATTCATCCCAAGGGAAGCTAGTAAGTGATGAATTATTTCCTCATTCTGATTAAAAGGCAGCATTTTGCTCCATTCTCTCCCTGACTCCTTGACTAGGCCAATAACTAGAGCTCAGATGCTTTCCAATTGTCTCCCCACTCGTCCGCCAATCACACACCAAAGGTCAAAACCAAGAACCTTGCAGAAATAGTTGCCACTGTCTCCATCCAAGCCATAATCTGGCCACCAAATGTGTTCCCGTGATGGTTTGCGTGGGGTGGCAGTACAAGTTCAATGCTCTGAACAGCAGTGCCCCTGGTGGCCACGGTCCCTTCCTCTTCATCACAAGCAGGATCTGAAAGGGTTGAAACAGCAGCAATGGTGGAGTCAGCCAGGGGACCTGGGCTACGGCTTTACCTTACCAGCAGCAAACTCAGCTCTAGGACTCTCAGAAAAATGAAATCGTTTTTAAAAACTAAAAACTGAAGAAGCAAGTGCATAGGGTTAGGATACCAGCTTAGAAAGGCCCTCTCCCAACCTATCTAACCAATCCACCTGCATCTTGATTAAAGGAATGCTTGATTAAATTTCATTCAATACTTTCATTTAAACCCCAGTTGTTTGGAGGTGGGAGAAAGATGGGAAGGGCATAAATTTGGGGGGTGATGGATATGTCATTATCTTGATTGTGGTGATGGGTTTTTACAGGTGCACACTCATGTCAGAGCTTCTCAAGTTACATGCTTTAAATAAGGGTCATTTAAGTTTGTCAATTATACCTCAATGAAGTCATTAAAAATAAAGGAATTTAAGCTATGAAGGGCCACAGACACAGAGAATCTGGAGCACGGTAAACTTCAGAGTAGGGATGTGGCCTTCTGTGCAAACTGTCTTGTGATGAACGCGGTCACAGCAGAAGAGACACAATCTGCTGTACTTCTCCATGTCCTTCTGCTTCTTTTGAATCGTATCAGCTTCATTTACAGACAAATTGGTTTTTACTCTCAACAATGGAGAAATCATTTACTCCAGATGCAAAGCAGTAAAATGTATTCAAATGTGCTTCCTGCATCACCCAGTGAATCACCAGCTAGGCTGAAATCTCACGCACCATTATTAGGAAGGTGGGAGGGAGATTTACAAAACCCAGAGAACTGCATTGGTTGGACTGTCAGAGCAAGCTGATCTGGCAGTGGGAGAGCACAGATGTAGCTGATGTTGGTAACAGGGAACGGGCTGCTCTTGAAGCAGTTCCTCCTAGGTGACCAAGAAGGGTATACAGAGACCTTTAACTCCACTTCCTAATGGAATTTTTAGATTTGTAATTGATGGTCTTTTACTTTTATTTTTCCCCTTTTATTTAATTGATCATTTCAGTTTCCTGCTTGAAACTTGTTAGTGGCTACTGTTGTTCTAGCATGAAGTGCCAAATCCTTCTCATAGCCTCCAAGCCCTTTACTCTGCTCCAGCCATGCCTCTGTCTCCAGCCACAGCTGGTATGATGACCGCCGACTGTCACCATCATGTTCTCCCTTGCTTGCTCCCTCCCACTTTCCAACCCTTCAACCACATTGACCTTTTTTTTCAGTTGCCCCCTCCAAAAACAAAATAAACAAACAAACAACAACAACAACAAATCAGAGCATTTGCATTAGTCTACTCTGAAACAGTTTCCCTGGTCACCACCACTACCCGCCACCACTTCACTCCTATTTTATCTTGGCTCATCTCAGTGATCACTTTCTCAGTAAAGCCTTCCCTGATCGCCACAGCTAAGTTCTGCTATTAAGAACCCCTCTCTCTCTCTCTCTCTCTCTCTCTCTCTCTCTCTCTCTCTCTCTCTTTCTCTCTCTCTCTCTCCTATAGCTTTATGTTCATTTGTGCAGTCTTCTGTCTGACCCACTAGATCCTAAGCTCCTGGGAGGCAGGGACTATGAAATTTTTATGCTCATATAATTCTCGAACATGAGTACTCAAAATTTATTGAATGAATGAATGAATGGACTTTACTTTGTTGATTCACTTTACATTCATGATGCTTACTCTCAACAGAACATTTTTAGGACATGTAATGGTTGTACTGTATCACACTTCTGATTGCTATTTATGAGAGTTTCCTTTGCTTCCCATTTTGCTTAAACAGTGTTATCAGACACCCATTCTCTCCAATTTAGTGGCTATGAAATGTTGGCTACAGTTTGCATTTCTCTGATTCCTTGTGAGGTCTAATGTCCTTTCTTATTAAGCCTTCTTAGTATGTCTACAGGCTTCAAGGGGTTAAGTTTGATACTCACACTTTGGGTGTTTTCATAGCAGTGTGTCATAATTCAATGGATAATTTTACATTCACTCCACATTTTTAGGTCAGAACTGTGACCTGAACTGAGGTCATTCTAGCTCTTGTTTTCATTCTTCATATCCAGAAAGGCTCAGCCCCAGAGTAATGCTCTTAAAGTCTGATTCCTTACTGAAAATGTGTAATTAAAATGCTTCAAATATTGTTTCCCCCCAGAATGCCATCCTCTAAACAATGACCCAGTGGTACAAAAGCTTTTCCCCCCAAAACCTAATATTACACATCTTTGCCTTCTTCCTTATGAAAGCACAGGATGTGGATTCAACTTTCTTGCTGTTAGAACAGCATGCATTTCCATTATACAACACCTTGAAATCCACACTATTATATCTGATTGTATAACTAGTATAGAACCCTGGTTTTCTAAAAAATACACCTCAATTACAGAGATGATCTGGCTACTTTATTTTAGAATATATTGTTTAATCCAAAACAGCCATCATATCCAATTGGGCAGCAAGTGGACAGATCGCTTTCTACTGCATTTTTAAGTGTCAGGGTCCAGTGCTTACATTCTTCTGGAGAAACTGCCATTAAGTTCCATGTCACAGGTGGTGTAGAAGTTAGTAAAATTTCCAAAAAGAGCAAATCAATAGAGTTATGGTAACAGTTGTTTTGTCCAAAAGAATGTAATCTATTTTAGGCTAGATTAAGTGAAACCAATGATAAAAGCAGCATTTTAAAAAAATCTATAATTCTAAATTAATCCAGACATATAGATCTGTTGCCACCAACCTCCTAACAAACTGAAACTAAAGTCAATTTCAATCATTTTATCCCTACATTGAATGCCTATAGCATGTTCCTGTTATAAATTAATTTAGAATGTCTCCAGTGCTTAAAGTAGTGTTGACAAATTGCTGCAATTTTGTTTATTGATATAACTTGTGTAATGACAGAAGGAGCCAACTCAAGTCACCTCAGTTCACCTGGTAAGTGGGCTTAAGTCACTAGACCTGGCAACCCTTCTTAATAGACTAACCCTTACAGAGAGGTCAGAGCCTCACAGAGTACCACAAATTCCTCCCAAATAATTTTCAGATGTTTGAAATACGAGAGAATCACCTTTCTCTTGTAACCAACCTCTCTCTCAATCATCAATTTTATCATCATCTTGATCAGCCTGGAACCATGACCAAGTTTTCCTATTCTGAAAAACAATTCCCTTTGAACTTGAGAGTCCCCTCTAGCTCCAAGCTGTTTCTTTCATCCTTCTCAGAAAAGTTCCTCAAAGTACAGTCTTTAACTGTCCTCCTATGAATGGAGACCTCTCGAATAGCAATATTAATACCAGCCCTTTCTGCATATTCAGTGTTGTTTGGAGCAATCTACCTATATTACTTCATTTTGACACAAATCTATCACATACGTATGTATGTTTATTATTTCCATTTTACAATTCTTATTTGTTTACTTTCTACTTCACCCTAGTGAGCTAAGAACAAAGTGAGAGGTCCTGGTGGTAGACAGCAAGTACTGGGATAAGAAAAGAAAAAGAGCAACTACGTGCTAGCCAGTAACTAGCACTGACTGCCAGAGGAAGTAGATGAGGCTCTGAGTACCCAACTTCTAGCCATTCTGCCTTAGGATTGGCTGATCCAGTGGAAGGAAGCCACTGTCTCTGTTGTGGATAGCTTAGGGGCATGCAGCCACAGAGATCAGGGGGGATCAGGTTCCACCTCTGATGACTTGAGTTCAGGAGAACACCTCGAGAGAACCGAGTTCCTGTGAAATGCCAGTGCTGCTGTGGGACATTCCTGCTAGTTTGGGTGACACTGAGATCCAGTTCAGTGTCCCAGTTTCCCTTAAAAGCAGAGGCTCTATATAGCCAAGCTGCACTAAGAGCTGTAATGGCCACCATATCCCTTACCATCCACACCTGCTGCAAAGGACTTGGGCTGTCAGGGGCGGGGACACTGATGGCTCTTCTTATTTTATCCACCACCTCTAAGTGAAATTAAAAAAAAAATAATAAGACTTATGGGCTGGGACTGGGGTTCAGCTTTCTTACTATCACTAATGTAAAATTGTGAATGTAAAATTGTCGGATTGAATTATGACACACTACTATGCATAGCACATGTGAGGCCCTGAATTCGATCCTCAGCACCACATAAATAAATAAAATAAAGGTATTGTGTACATCTACAACTAAAACTATATAGTTAAAACAATAAAACATTCAAAAAATTTAAAAAGGCCTAGTATTAAGAGTTTAATTTGGCATGAGTATATATGTATTAACTCCTTTCCTCTTCTCTCACAACCATTGCCTGGCTCAGGAACACCTTATCTCTTGCTGGGTATTATGGTTTAGATATGTGATGTTCCCCAAAAGCTCATGTGTGAGACAATGCAAGAAAGTTTAGAGGTAAAATGATTGGGTCATGAGAACCTCAACCCACTTATTGAATTAATCCCAGTAGGGATTAACTGAGTGGTGAATGTAGGCAGGTAGGTTGTGGCTGGAGGAGGTGGGTCATTGGGGGTGTACCTTTGAGGTATATATTTTATACTTGGTGAGTGGAGTCTCTCTCTCTCTCTCTCTCTCTCTCTCTCTCTCCCCTTCCTGGTGTGCTTCCCTCCACCAGGCTCTTCTGCCATGATGTTCTGCCTCACCTCCAGCACCAAGGAATGGAGCCAGCTGTCTACAGACTGAGACCTCTGAAACCCTGAGCCCCAAATAAACTTTTCTTTCTCTAAAATTGTTCTTGTCGAGTATTTTAGTGATAGTAAAAAAAGTTGAGTACACCTGGTCTCCTCCCTCTACTCAGAGTGGTCATACTGAGTTCCAATCTAATCATGCCACAGTCTGCTCAAAATCCTTCCTCTGTGGCTCCCATGTAGGACTAAAGAAAGATCAACTTTCTGAACATGCCTGAGAGTGCCTCTATGGCACAGTCCTGTCTTCATCTTCTCCCTCTTCTGTCTTGAGTTTCCCTGTGGAATGCTCTTGTGATGGTGGATCCCTAACACAGCCTGTGGGTTTGTGCCACTGGGTCACTGCTCACACTGTCACTTGCTTCACCTTCTTGGCTCTCTCGTGGTCAGGGGGTCTTTTTTGAACTCCCTGAGCGTTCCTACTCTGCTTCCACCGTATTTGGAACCTACAATGCTTTTTTCAATCTCTACACTATTTTTAAACTACTCAAATGTCTGTCTCAGGCAGTAAACTTTGAGTTTTGCAAGAGCAAAGTCTCTGCACTGTTCATCTTTTTTTTTTTTTTTTTTGCCTTTGCAGCAAGCATGTTCCTGGCACAAAGTGGGCATTGAATACACATGTATTGGAGAGAATGAAGCAGGCAGCATTCTTCTCTCTTTCTCTGTTTAGGAGGAAGGAGCTCATGCTTCTGTATGACTGTACAGAAGCTTACCTATAATCACATCTATACCTCCTCCTGCAAGCACCAGACCAAACTGACCAGCCCCACAACTGGCACAGGTTCCCCTTCTTCCTAGTGGCAGAGCTTTCTCAAGACAGCTCCAGGTATACAGGGTGGAGAATCATTCTTGAGATACATATTCTGGATGAGGGATAAGCTAAAAGCAAATTTTGGCAAGGATCTCTGGATGAATGTGCAGACTTCAAAAGAGCTTTTTTCTGACATTGCCAAAGAAGTCTTTTGTGGCTTAAAAGTCATTAGTAGCTTATTTCTATTTTCTTCTTACAAAGTCAGTTGGTGTCATTGTAATCTCAGTGAGGACAAAAGGCCTTTTAAAAAGACATAATTGTGCAAAAAAGAAGGCCAATGAAACTGGAGCAACTGGACATACTTAATAATCATGTTAAATGCTCGAGTTTCCCTGATACACTCTTAGAGAGCTACTTGTTAGATATAATAAGGGTTAGGACACCAGTACGTATTTCATTTCTTTCCTGGGATTTTAGTAGCAAGAAGACAGCAGAGTGAGTTTGGGATTGAATGATTTTTTAGCTTTTTTAAATGGTTGTCTAGTCTGCCTTAGAACTGTTCTCATGTACAACTATTTTATTCCTCATGCAAAATTCCTTTAAAATATATTTTGCTATATATCATCCTTACAAAATGAGACTCACTCTTCTCAGCATGGTGACTTAACAATGTATTCTTCATTTCCTTAAAAATAATTTGGGAATGGGTATTGCCCTTTAAAAGATCAGCAAATAAATAAAACGTTTTCAGTTGTTAGAAGTACAGGGTGACACAAATTATCTCTTTCTCTTAAAACACACCTTTCTGTCAATAATGATTTATCAATTATCCTGATCAGTCTAGAATCCTGACCAAGTTTTTTCTACCATGGAAAATGATGCTCCTTGCCCTTAAGGGTCTCTAGAGCTCTTCTAGCTCTAGTTTCTCAAAGCAGAAACCTTTGAAAACCTCTTCCACCCCAGAGGCCTTCTATGGGGTTGTCCCAGGACCTTGATGACGTCATGTGGACAGAATGAGACCCACACACTTCTGCCACTCCGGCTTCTGCCTTTCTCAAGCCTCTGGTCTCTACGTATTCCTTTTCCTCCTACCTCACCTTTATCCTCCCCTCTCCTCCCTCCCCCTGGGGCTTTGGAAGATGGCATCAGACAAAAAGGAATGACAGGGGGAGGGAAGGGGTTCCAACAAGGTTTCAAAGAACCTGGAAAATCACTGCCAGAGAACAAAGAAAGCTTGTTTCATAAAACCCAGTGTTATTTGGAAAGTGCTAGGAAATAAGAGCAGAATCTTATCCCTTCTGTTTTATATCATATGGGATCTTTAGCACGTTTCTTCCCAGCTCAGAGTTGCAGCTTCCTCTTTGTTGGCGCTACGTGCAGCTCTTATGAAGCCAAGGGTGAGTGAGCTGTGGAGCACCATGTTGGAGTATGGCAAGGTCATCCTCCATCTGTCACACTGAGTGCTATAACTCCAACTGCCTAGTCCCTTATTAGCCAGCTCCTTCCCTGGAGATCCTCTGACTTAAACATGACCTAGCCAATCAACAAATGGGTCAAAGACCTGAACAGACACTTCTCAGAAGAGGATATACAATCAATCAACAAATACACGAAAAACTGCTCACCATCGATAGCAATCAGAAATGCAACTTAAAACTACTCTAAGATACCATCTCACTCCAGTAAGATTGGCAGCCATTATGAAGTCAAACAACAACAAGTGCTGGCAAGGATGTAGGGAAATAGGCACACTCATACATTGCTGGTGGGACTGCAAATTGGTGCAGCCAATTTGGAAAGCAGTATGAAGATTCCTTGGAAAGCGGGGATAGAACCACCATTTGACCCAGCTATTCCTCTTCTCGGACTATACCCAAAAGACCTTAAAACAGCATACTACAGGGACACAGCCACATCAATGTTTATAGCAGCACAATTCACAATAGCTAGACTGTGGAGCCAACCTAGATGCCCTTCAATGGATGAATGGATTAAAAAATGTGGCATTTATACACAATGGAATATTACTCAGCACTAAAAAATAACATGATCGTGGCATTTGCAGGGAAATGGGTGGCATTAGAGCAGATTATGTTAAGTGAAGTTAACCAATCCCTAAAAAACAAATGCCAAATGTCTTCTCTGATATAAGAGGGGTGACTAAAAATGGAGTAGGGAGGAAGAGCATGAGAAGAAGATTACCACTAAATAGGGAAGAGAGGTGGGAGGGAAGGGAAAGGAGAAGGGGAATTGCATGGAAGATGGAAGGAGACCCTCATCATTATAGAGAATACATGTATGATGATGTGAGGGAAAAAAAGAAGTGTGTCACATTAGATTGGGTAGAGAGAAGTGATGGGAGGGGAGGGGAGGGGAAGGGGTGAAAGGAAGGACAGCAGAATAAAATAGACACTATTATTGCTGTATGTATATATACGTGACTGCATGACCAATATGATTCTGCAACCTGTACACTCAGAAAAAGGAGAAATTATAACCCATTTGATTCAAATGTATGATATGTCAAGATCATTGTACTGTCATGTGTAACTAATTAAAACAAATTAAAAAAAGATGACTTAGGTGTCATCAATTATATTCCAATTATATTATATACTATATATTACTTTTCCAGCCACTCAGTTTGTTGCAAAGATATCCAGCAACATCAGGACTGAACTGTACAGTGGAAATAAGTGTATCCTAAAAAAGGACCCAGTCACTCGCACTAGTCATGAGAAGTTCTTAGGGGTGGATCTGCTGACCTTCCAAACTGCTACTTTCCTTCATTAAGTTGTTAAAAGTATCTTCATGTTGTAACCGAACTTTCCTTCTCTCAGAAGCCAGAGTATGCTCCACTTGATCTTGTTCAGTTAGAAGTATGACTGGTTTTAAGTGAATCTGAAAAAAGAAAATAATTCACTTTTATTGCCTTATTAAGTTATAAAAATACAACATGAATTTTGTAAAAACAAATGATATGTTACATGGTTTTGTAACTCAAGTAAAGAGAAAAGCTATAAACATTTTCACTCAACATATTCTAACTTTTTTTCTCAAAAAATTTTCAAATTTAAAAAATTGGAATATGTGTATTATATTTACTATAGTATGGTATATTAATTATTTCTACATCAAATATGTACCTTTAAAATTATTCTTATTTATTTTACATTATTTAAAAATGGTTCCACAGAACTATGAAATATGGCATTCTTCAGATAAATGAATGGGGGTAGGGGTTGTGATTTCCCCTGAATTATTCTGGTGAATTCTTAACAAGAAATGTTTTCTATTTTTTGAAAAATTAAGACACCAAAGAGAGGAGGAGGGGAATAATTATGTTCTAGAGAAAGCTATCTTGTCCCAGGAGATATTTCCAATTTGGAAACTTCATCACATGGTAAAAACATTAATAAGCAAACTGAAATAATCAATATGTCAGAATAAAGCTTTGGCTGACCTCCAGGAACCTGGGTATATGACGAAAGAATACCAAGGGCACACGCTGCTCTGCAGATGCCCATCTCTGACTGTGTGTGAAGGGACAGGCTGGCTCCAGGCTTATTTCAGGTCCTGACCCTTGGCCTGGATAAGATCAAGCCAAGCTAGTGATTCATAATATGTTGCCTAAAGTCCAAAGCTCCCCTGGGCTGCCTTGTCTCATCTGGTCAGGAATGAGTCCATTGACAGCTTACATTGGTTTGACTTATTATTATAAACAGGACAATATACATATATCTTAGTGATTCCTAATCCTCAAAATACATCATGTGTGATTCTGGGGAAGGACTCTGGGAACTATCCACTGCAGAAAGTGGAACCTCTCTGATGTTGGCCTGGGCCTTTTTTCCCTGGCTGCACCATCTCCATTAGCTTTAGTGAGCCTTGGATGAGCACACCTCCTGGAGTCCTGTGTGTCCTCTCCATGATCTATGTTTTGCTAATCTAAGTCTAGTTAATCATTGCCAACTTCATCCTGGAATCAACTCTCTTTGGACAGGTATCCAGGTAGGTAGTCTTGTCAGTTCAAACCATGGCTCTCTTCACGATGTGCTACTGAACGAGAATGTTACCAACTAGAAAATCTGTTAATCTGGGGAAAGTACTTTACAATTGATGTTCTCTGAACCAGCCAGTTATGGCAGCAGCTCAAAGAGCTGACTGCTCAGAAAGGCCCTCAGAAACCAGTTCTTCTGTCTCAGCAGAGAGTGGACTGAGGTGTGACAATCATATGCTTAGCCACACATTCCTGAATTCAGTGAGGAGTCTGAGGCTAGAGGGAGTAAACAGTGTGGTTCTCCTCTGCCACAGGAGGGAAGGCTGGCCATGTATACTCCTTCCTGTCGCTTGCTGTCAGATATGCAAACTTGCCACCTGCCCCCATAATTTTCTAATTCCCAAGAGTTTAGAGATTTCATGAAAAACAGAAAGGTTGGAAAGATATGTCCCATTGTCTCAGATTTTCATGAACATGGGATGCCTGGAATCCCCATCAAAGTACAAATTTCGAGTTCTTAACACTGGTGATTCTACTCCCAGAAAGCTGCATTTGAAATAATATAACTAGGTGATGTGAACTTTAGTTTGAAAAGCAGCACCTTGGGCACTATGAATTTTCCTTGCAGCATGTTTAAATCAGGCCTAGAGTGGAAGATGTGCCCCAGGGGACAAAATCCTGTGGCAACATATGCCACCCAAGCATCATGGTGGCCCAGCTGGTGTGCACAGCTTCTGCCTTCTCTGTGGGATGCTGTGGAAACATTGCTTTGTCCCAGCTCCAAGCCGGAGGCAGTCTGAGGAAGAACTTGCATATTCTGCCAGAAGGAGACCCCTTGTCACTTCCAAGTGGAGCTAGGAGAAGCCACTGTGCCTACCCCTGGAGCAATCCTTGGAGTGAAACATTTAAATCATAATTTGAATTATTACTTTTTAACAATGTTTAGACTACATGGGGTCCTTACCCTGAGCAGGAATGTCAAGAAATGATAGTGAGGAATTCTGAAGCAGCCCCTGGATGAGCATGTGCATCAGGACAAAGTTTAAGGGTGTCCCAAAGCTTGTTTTCAAAGTTCAGTAACTGAGCAACTTTGACGTTTTTTCTTCAAGTATAAATGATTAAACCATAATATCCAACTACTTGATACATTACTCCTGCTTAAAAAAAAAAACTATTTTAACTCAATTTTCAATTTTCATCTAAACTAGTAGGAAATCTTTTAAAAATGAGATGACTTTCAGGTCATTTTGTTTTCCTTCTTTCTCAAACTGGATTTCTCCAACTAGCTACATCTCCTTTTCTCTAAGATCCTAGGCATGGAAAGATCTTATTACTTAAATCCTATGATGTTACCATAGAATCGTAACTTTATGGTAAACATTGATGAATTGAAAATCCTGGGAAATGTATCTCCTGGTAATAAGAAATGTCCTTTCCTCCATAATAATTCTGATGCTTTCATTACTATGTCCCTGATTTTACATGAAGAGATGCCTCTTTATGTAGGAAATTTACCTTTTCTTTTCCAACTGGTTTGGCTACAAATGTAGAGAAAGCCACACTAACAAGTTTCTCAATGTCCATCAATGTGTCCTGTACTATGACCTTGATACTGATCTAAAAGGAAAAGAAAAATAAACAAATTTTCAGTCATCCAGAGAGCAGATTTGATCACAGCATTCAAAATTCAGTTATGTACTTCGCCATTCTTAACTCTTTTTTAAATGAGACCAGCATTTTAATTTATTTTTAAGCAGTATTATTCTTTCAATGATGTTCTATAAAATTGGATAAATAACTTTTATCTGTCTACAGGAAATATACATTTGCCATGGAAAATTTATGGAATCTGATTACCCAGAGTAAAATTTCCAGTAATCCTATCACCTAGAGATAATCTATTAAACTTTAGATGAATTGTCTTCTAGTTTTTATATATTTTTATATGTATATGTGCATATACAAACATACATGCATATAAACTAGTTTATATATATAAATACACATAAAATATGTACACATAAATATATATTATATATGAAATATATATTTTATAAAGCATACATAAAATGCATATATGTATATACACATTATAAAATATAATACTTTATTTATGGTTTTATACTACAATTTTTAAAATTTTGGCATTTTCAAATCCTATTAGTAAATAGCTTTTGAAAACAAGCTATTAATGACTGCCCTGCAGCTCATCAAAAAGATGTATCACAACTATTTTTATTTATTTATTTATTTATTTATTTATATTGGTTGTTCAAAACATTACAAAGCTCATGACATATCATCTTTCATACATTTGATTCAAGTGGGTTATGAACTCCCATTTTTACCCCAAATACAAATTGCAGAATCACATCGGTTACACATCCACTTTTTTACATAATGCCATATTAGTGACTGTTGTATTCTGCTACCTTTCCTATCCCCTACTATCCCCCCTCCCCTCCCCTCCCATCTTCTCTCTCTAC